CAGGTGGCCAGGAGGCCCACGGGCACAAAAACCGTTTATTTCTAAAGAAGGAGCAGCCCAAAGGAGCCCTTCCTTCACCTGCCTCAACCACGATGAAGGGGGCCTTCCGCCACCTCCTCGCGGGGCAGGGAGACCCCACTCCGTGACCTTCTCCTCAAAGGGGAGACTGTGCACCTTTTCCTGTTACGACTGCCCTCCTCCCAGCCTCCAGGCCCCCCCCCCGGCAGGGAAGGCTGCCCACCTGGCCCCATCATTGCATCCTCCTCCAGGCCTCCTTGAGGACAGCTTCTTCACCCAGACCTCTTCATATGTCCTGCTGACTCTGGGGAGACTCTTCTGGGTGAGGTCACCTTCTGCACTTTTTGGGTGTCCTCTTCCTGTGTTTCTTTTGGGATTTTGTTGGTTTGAGCTTCACAGGCTTCTACAAGAACAGCTGATCCCTTCCCAAATGCCTTTAAAGGCTCCCGGTGGCGCCCATGGGCCTGACATCGTGACATTACATGGTGGTGTGGGCGGTTTTGTCCACCTTCACAAACACGGGCCAAAACAACTCCTCATCTGGAGCCCTGCATTCTTTCTTGAACCGAACAACTAACCAGCATGAAGCTTCTGCACCAGACCTTCTCTGGTTTATGGGACAATTCTCTCAACAGACCCCCTGTTACAAAGCTGTAAACTCAGCAGCAGCTCAGCAATGGCCCAACCCCTTCCGGGATGGTTATGGCCCTCCATCTGTTAAGGATTAACGAGCAAACCCCGCAGCCATTTTCCCCAGGATGTGTTTTGAACGGCCCTTTAATTGGGCCGTGCTGAGCACTGGCGGATCCAAGGAGCCACGTCCCTCCCCCTCCAGCTGCGCATACGTATGTACATGTGCGCATGCATGTGCCTAGGCTGAGTGACCTTTGTCCCTCTAGCACAAGTCACTGAATTGAGTGGGGACACCAACCTATCCCTTCAGCCTCCTAGGCTCCCCCCCCCTTTTCAATATACATTTTAAAGGCATTGAGGTTAAAGACAGCACTTCTGATGATCCTGAAATCAGACCCGCTTCTCCCGATGGTTCCCAAGGGAGAGGGATAAAGACTATCCCAACAATGCTCCCCGCTCCCCACTTTGGCCACCTGCCTTAACACCCCCGTCCATCCTTCTGTGCACACGTGGAAGGTAGAACTGCTGGGGAGCTCAGCAGTTTAGGCAGATCTGGCTGCGGAGCCAGAGGTTGAGAGTTCGATTCCCCCCCCCCCGGCCTCCTGGACAGGGACTGGACTCCCTGAGCCAGAGGGGCCCTCCCAGTTCAGCCGTCCCAACATGGCAAGTATTTATTAATATTATAAGATGGAGAGTCCAGCGATATGTCTAGCAATTAGAAGGGTTCGACAGAAGAGCAAATCTGAAGCGTGCTGCATGCTCGGTGGAGGTGGCTCTTGTCACAACCTCTCCCAGAGCCTTTTTGCCATTCCTGCCAGAGCACAGACACAAACACAGAGAGAGACCCCAACCTTGCCTCTGTTTCAGGCCAAAAAGCCACTTTCTAAAGCCTGGCTTGTCCAAGAGCAAAAAGCACACTCCAGGTCACCATTTTCCATAGGAAAAAATCTTTTATTTAACAATATATCAGGTTTCATCATGGCTCCAGGGAATTCAAATCCCATTATTATTGACTTCCGATGGTAATGATGAGATGGGAACTGGGTGAAATCGTGTACAGAAGAGTAAAAAAAAGACTCACTCAGGAGCGGGAGAAGGACAACAACAAAAGCCGCAAGCCGAGCACCTTTGGGCCCTTGGGCCCTGAGAGCAGGTATGGATGGAACACAACGGGAAGCCGACACGGGACAGAAGAGAGGCACAGGGTCTCGCCGTGGCAGGCCTGGCCTTTGAGGCCAAAACACAACCTGACACTCCACAGAGGCGCCCATCTTCTGCGAGGAGGGACCTCCGATAAAAGTGCCGTCTGCCCTCCACCGCCACCGAAACTTTGGCAATGGGGGGGCGCGGTGGGGAGGCAGGAAGCAGAACAAGACCCAGAATCTGGGACCCATGTTTCTTGGCGCAAAGCCTCCGGCAGGAAGCTACACACTTTGAGGGCGCTGGCAAATAACGGAGATCCCTGACACGCAGAGGGCGACCAAGGGCTGGGAGACCCCGATGGCTTCAGAGGTTTCTGTCCCAAAGGATGAGAATGGAGGAATGTGTGATGAGATGGGGTGCACCAAGAGTGTGTGCACAGATGGCAGTGAGGGAGGGATTTTTCTCAGAGCACGTGTGCGTGAGTTCGTGCGTCTCCACAGTCTCCTCCCACCTGGCTAAAGACGTAATGGCTCATCTCTTCTAAAGGAGAGACACCCCCAGCTACAAATCGGGGGCACTGTGGTGGGTGGCAATGGGTCCCCCATGAACCTGCACAACACAGTATGGCCAAATTGCAGCCATGCCACCAAGGGACAGCTGTGGGACCTGAAATTTCTGTGTCACCAGCCAGGGATAAAGAATGAGCCGGAAGGAAAGCGTCTTTGAAAGGGAGCAGGAGACACCGGGCAGCCCCCCCCCTCCCCGGGAGGCCCTGGGCTGATGAGCACCTTTTCTGCCTGAGGACCCAGGCCTTAACCAACACCGACGCAGGAGCCGAGCAAAGGCCACGACAGCAACCGGTCCCAGCCCAACAGCCGGGGCACCGGGGCGGGGGGGCGAAAAGAGGGCTGGTGCCAAGTGACCCAGTGTTAACGGACCCGAAGGCTGGCAGTGGAGCACCAGTGGCCCCCATGGTTACTCTCTTTGCTCAAGGAATCCCAAGGGCCATCGTAAGAGAACTGAAGGATTGTCTGGGAAAGAAGCGGCAGTGAAAAGAGCCAGGTAGTTCTGCTAGTCTGCCACCATCTCAGCAAAACAGAGCTGCTGCTTCTGCACAGGGCTAGAAACGCTTCTGCCAAACCATTCCAGCCCCCCAAATGCACCACCCTGGACTGGACAGCCAGCTCAGAAGCAGAAGGGTGGGGCTGGGGGGAGGCTGCTGGATGCAAGCACAATTTCAAGCCCCCCCCCAAAAAAAACCAATCCAGCCTAGAGAGGGTTCGTTAGCACCTTGGCCTGTTGGCTGGCCAGCTGGTCTTTTCTGCTCTACTCAGGTCTCCGGGACCCCCTTCGTGTGGGACCTGCCTAGCAGGCAGGAGACGCCCAGCTAGGATCTGCAGAGCGCACGCACACATGCGAGAAGACCCTCCGCAGAGAGGCGAAGGCTGCTCAGCTGGATGGCGGAATGGCACATGTTTTACACCCGTTCTTGTGGTTAGGTTCTTCCCCCCTCTTTTTTGTTCTTGTTTTTTTTTTCTAAGAAAAAGCAACCAGAAAATAATCCAGAGTTTATACAAAACCTCTTTACATTATATCTTCCAAAAAAGACTAGTTATTTACACAAAGTAAAATCTCGAAAAGTCCAAAAAAAAGTCCTTCTGCTGAAGGGAGAAGAGGGAACTCAAAAGAAACCCTTTGGCCAAGGAAGGTTGGAAACCTGCCCCCTCAAATGACTTTGCCCATCCATCTGCTCCCCCCCTCCCTGATTGGCCAGCCCGTTGCTTTCCAGGAATTTGCTCCCTTTGGGGTGGTCGGCAAACAGGACAGAAACACCCCCTTTGTGTGGGGGCTTCCGCCTTCCACAAGTCTCTGCTGATCAAAGTGCATGCCAGGTGCCAGAGGCAACAATGGCATTACTCAAGAGGAGGTGACCATAAGGTGGCAGAAGCTTCACAAGCATGGCAGAGCCCTCTAAAGGGTGCTGCTTCCCTGGTCGGGGGGGGGCCCTCGGGTACAAGAGATGCCAGTTTTCCCACCGGCCCTGTCCGACGGCAAGCTGGAAGTTCACACCAATTGCAAGTTCTGCATGGGTAAACACCTGCACCCAGAAAAACTAGTGCAATAACCAACACTTTCACGTAGGAATCTGTTTTCCATGGAGCAGGTTGGAAAGATGATGTTAAGAGCAACCATAGTCTTTCTGTTTGACTGCCATCTCCCAGGCCCTCCTTGCTCTCCCCCGCCTCCAAAACTGGATGTGCTAGAAAAGAAATGTGTCAAACTCCCCCCCCCCACAGGCCCTGCTGGTCTTCTCCTGTCATTTAAAGTGTGGGGCGCACCCTTCTCCTCCCCTGGCTTGGGAAGGGCTGGACACCCACGAAGGCCAACCTGAGTTTCATGCTTTTGAGTATGAAAAGCTTTTGAAAGCTGACCGGATTCGGGGGGGGGCTGCCAAATACACCGCCCTCAAGTTTTGGGTGTGATGGCTACCCAGAACAAATCATTTAGAAAGACCAGTCCCTGCCCTCCCTCAGACAAAACTGTCTGATGGAGGAATGCCATCTCAACCCCTCAGGCCAAAGGGGGTCCATACCAGATGAGCTTAACAGGCCGGGGGTCCAAGGTTCCAGTCACAAGAGCTTCCTCTCTCTCTCTCTCTCTCTCTCTCTCTCTCTCTCTCTCTCTCTCTCTCTCTCTCTCTCTCTCTCTCTCTCTCTCTCTCTCTCTCTCTCTCTCTCTCTCTCTCTCTCTCTCTCTCTCTCTCTCTCTCTCTCTCTCTCTCTCTCTCTCTCTCTCTCTCTCTCTCTCTCTCTCTCTCTCTCTCTCTCTCTCTCTCTCTCTCTCTCTCTCTCTCTCTCTCTCTCTCTCTCTCTCTCTCTCTCTCTCTCTCACACACACACACACACACACACACACATGGAAGCTGGTGCTTCCCACCCACTTTACGCAATCTGGATTTTTCTACCTTTGTGGCTACAAGACTGAATGGGGAGGTGGGGATGGGCAGTAGCTCGTGGACACGTTTTTTCACATAGGGGTTCCTTTCCTCCATGTGCAAACGTCTTCATAGCCTTCCATGCGTCCTGGAAAAAAACATAGGGCACACAAAGGATTGATTTATGTGAAAGCTGGAGTCTATTTTAGGGAGGAGAGAAAGATGAGGGAACATGGTCACGTTGTCCTCAAAGAGGTGCCGGGAAGGTGGGTCACGTCGGAGGGAGGGCCGTTCGCTCGCCCTGCAGGTAGCAGTGGCGGCAAACAGGGACACAGTCTGGCACGTTGGCAGCCTGAGAGCCAAAGCTGCCATGGGCTCGCGTGGCAGTCTTTTGAGTTGAGTGAGCACGACGGCCAGTGACCCCGGCGGCAGTGGGGTGTGGATATCTGGGCAGACAATTTTCAGACCCTTCAGAAATCTTTGGAGGACTGAGTTTCGGAAGAATCAAGAAGCTGCCAACTCTCCATCTTGATACTCCCCCCTGATGGCTGAGAAGCAACGTTCCCTCTAAGGTCCACGGGAACGCAACACGTCCTTCGACGCACGACGACGCCCCGGTGTTTTCTGGCCAGTTGCTTCTGGTCATGACCATAATCCCACACACAGAGAAGCCACCGAGCAGCCCTCCGGAGAATTACAGGAAATGTTGCTGAGAGATACAATTTTACAGGGGAACGGGATACTTCTCTCTCTTTGGGGTATAGCAAAAAACGGATAGCCCTGTGGACTTTTGGTGGTAGGTAAGATTGCTGAAGTGACTTTGTGAAATCTATGAATTCCCCCCCTTTTATACTTATATTTATGCCTGGTGGATGGCTTTCTCACTTCAGGTATAATATTCTTTTAAATGCTGGTGAATTCTCCACACTATCAGCCTCAGCTGGGCAAAGTCTGGGTGGCAAACGGTCCCCTTGCCCTCAGTTCTCCGGATTGGAACCCATGATGGGCCCTGCCCTGTGCCTGGGAGCTGCGAAGCAAGGCCCGCATGGCTGCCATCAGTATCACCCATTACGACCAGAGGATGATTCTGCCCAGGGCACAAAGCACGAAATGCTAGAGGGCTGAACAAGTAGTGGTAGATTGGAAAGAAGACTCTGAGGTCTGTTGCCACAAACCACTCTCCTTTCTGGAAAAAAGAGGCAAAATTGGTTCTGGTGTATCCCGTCTTGAATTTCTTGGTGTTGACATCGCTAGGATGGGCCTCAGGCCCCCATCCTTTTTAACAGGAGTAGAACTGTATACAAGCCATTTGGATTATGATGAGAAGGCACAAAGGCTCCAGAGAAGCCCTCAAGCTGTTCTCTCACCCAGGGACAGCAGGACAAAAGAGGAGAGAGGCGTAGCGCATCGCTACCGGGGTGCAGGCACCTCCGAGAGGGCCTGGATGAGCCCTTTTTTAGGCTCCAGAAGACGTCTGTGCAGGCAGGCAAGGGACCCAGATGTGTAGATTCACACGAGCCCACCTAGATTTCTTTTTTAAAAAATGTGTCAAAGTCTTGACAGCATGAACAACAATGTCACAAGGGAGAGAAAAGACTGTCCATTACGTGGGGGCCCTGAGAAAGCGCTCTCCTGGCCTGGCCTCCCCCCCCCCGCGTGGTCCCCAAAGCATGAGACCCTATCTGGCATAGCGAGCCTCATAGGGGAAGCAAGAGTGCATTTGGGGGGACAGCAGCTGGAGGAAGGGGGTCCCCCCAAGAGCTGCTTCCGGTGGAGCCCCCTCTGGGGGAACGTGCCTGGACGGGCCCAAGGGACCAGAAGCTCCCCTGCTGCCACCGCGCCTTCTCCATCCGAGAGGGAGGGGGGCTCCCCCAATGCCATAGGGAACGCCCCCTCCCAGGGGCAGCTCCGGGGCCTTCCTCTCCAGCTAGCCAGCAGCTGGTGTTGGGAAGGAGGCCAAATCCAGTGGGGGGGGGTCGGCTACCAAGTGGGCGTAAGGCTTTGGTGCAACAGTGCAGGTGGTGAGGAGAGGCAGATGGGGGGGCAGAGGGAGGGGGCAAGTATTTATTTATTTATTTATTTATTTGATTTATATCCCGCCTATCTGGTCGGGTGAGGACCACTCTAGGCGGCTAGAGGGTCCTACGCACAACCATGGGTGGAGAAAGCCCCCCGTCTCTCAAGAGTGGGGACGGGAGGGGGGAAATGTGGAGCCAACTGTGCTTGGGGACCGATTCAGACAGGCAGCCCCCTATTTCCTCCTCCACCCCAAGGAAGGCTTCTGGCATGACCAACGTGACACCGCGAGGGAAGCCAAAGGATGCCTTCCAGGATGCCTGAACCCACAGCTCAGGGGTGGGGGTGGGGGGTGGGGGGGTGAGTGGAATGGGGGGGCAGAGCTCCCCTAAGGACAGTGCAAGGTGGGAGGGCCAACGGAAGGGGAGCAAGGCAGAGACTCTGACTGGGACTCACGCCTGAACCTCGGCCCCTACTTCGATGTGGGGGGGGGGCTCTGAAACTCTCAGAGGAGGGGGGGGCACCTCTAGCACAGAGGATGGGCTGGCACAGCAAGGCATCCCTCCAACTGGCAGGTTCTCCCCCCCTTCCCACAATCCTCACCCCATCGCGTCCCACCCCCCAGTTACGCGCCTGAGGGGGAAAGCGCCAGCCCGGTCCCTGGGCGCCACTGCGCCTGCACACGCCTGGAGGGGGTCGAGTCCAGGCCCCAGCCTTGATGGCCAGCTGACCAGTTGCGTTGGAGGGGAGGCCTTCCCCCCCCCCGGCAAGGCCCCAGCAGGGAATGAGGCCAAGGGGTCACAAGAGCCCTTCTTTCTCCCTCCCCCCCCCCGCAGCCCCTTCCTTCTACAGAGCCTTTAGAGTCTGGTCCTGGACACCTCAAGCATTTGATAGATTTTAGGAGGGGGATTTTTGCTGGGGAAGGGATAACCCGGCTGCTCCCAGAGAGGGAGAGGATCGGACCCCTGCACGGTCAGCCAGACGCGGCCTGGGCTTTGCCCCCCCATCTCTTAGACCAGAGCTGTCCAACCTCAGCAGGACCTACCGAAGGGTCAGGGAACACAATGCCCCTGGGGAGGAAGGCGGGTGGCTGGTTCTTAATGGCTGGGCCAGAGGGCGGGCAGGCGGCTTCTGGTCTTCCACTTAAGGGAGGCACGTTGGGCCCCTGGAAGGGAGTCCAAAGCAGGGGCAAAGGATGCATTTTTCTGACCCACAGGCTGCCCTGCATCCCTAGGAAGTTCTTGGAGCAACCCTTGACCATCCCACACCCCGGCCTGCTTCTAGTGAACAACATCACTCTCACTCACTCACTCACTCACATACACACACACACACACACACCATGGCTTGGGGCAGGCAAGGGCAGGACTCCCCCTTCAGGGATGGTTTCAGAACAGGACATCTCTCACACCGAGCACGGCAGACTTTGCACATTTACAATTTTTGTTTTATAAAATAAAGTGAAAACAAAATTAAAAAACAAAACAAAAAAATGTCCCCAACACAGAGATGGCCGACTCTCATGAGCAGAAGACGGGAGGCGCTCCGAATGGTCAAGACCACGGCTGGATTTGAGGGGGTGGGTGGCAGGTCAAGAGCCGAGAACCTTGGACTGGAAAGCCGATGATGATGATGACGACGACAGAGGAGGTGGATCAGAGTCCCGAGGTTTCACAATTAAAAAACAGACATTACAAAAAAAAATACTTTAAATTTATAAGAGCAGGATGTTGGGCCAGGCGACCTTCCCCCTCGGCCGCCTCTGTGCATCCGGGACAGGCAGCCAGCCAGCCGCTCTCTCTTGCCAGCTTCTTCTGGAAACCCCAGAAGGGACCAGGAACCCAGCCCGGCTGCACCTCCCTTCTTCTGCCCCCCCAACCCAGAAAACGCAAAGCCGAATGAAAGCCAGATCGTGGAAAGCCAGGAGTGGCCCCGGAAAGCAAAGCAAAGAGCCAGAAGAAAGGCTGGCGGGGGTGGCCGTGGAGGTCCTCCGGGGAGGGCAGGGGGGTTCCCGGCACGTCCAAGAGTGAGGAAAGGCACAGAGCCCAAACAAGGGGGCTGCAGAGCGCGTCGGGAGGATCGGCACCTGCCCCCCCTCCCAAGCGAGCGCCGCTGCTGGGGGGCCGGAGGCAACAGGAGGATTCGGGCGAGGCTCCTTCCCTCGTCGTCCTCCTTGAGTCTTGGAAATACAAAAGAAGCTCCCGACTAGAAAACTAAAGGCTAGAGG